ATTCAGTGTATTTGGAGAAAAAAATTTGACCTTCTTATTTACATAAGTGCAGCCACAATAGAGGTTTGACTGATAGACTCTTTAAAACCAGCTTTGCTGTAATTTTTCATAAGAAGTCACTAGATTAAACTTTTAGTAGCCTCTCAAGGGCAGAAACGAAGCCAAATACTTGCCATCAGGTGTTGCCTGCAACACTTATAGATTTGGGTGAATTTCTATATTCTTGAGGTCTCCAAAACATGCCAAGATTATTGACCTATTAGGAAATAAAGTTCTTGATTCACCTGGGAAGGCTTCCAGGGATTCTGTAAGCAAGGAATCATGCTGATACTTCCAAGGGGGCTTGATTGGGTCCATGAAGTCCATCAGAGATCCTTATAGCCGTCTCCTCATTTCTGAATCGATTTCGGTCTTTCTCAGCTATGACATTCTAGTCAAAGTCTTGGTTACCTAACAGTGTTTCCAACTGCGTCTTGTCACACAGAGAAACGATTCTTATGGAAATTACGCAAACACATGTATTAGAATAAACATATAAGAATAGAGAGTTTCTGAGATCTGGAAGAACCAGGTAGGAAGAAGAGATAAATGTTTCCATTTGTTCACCAAGTTATATTCTGTGCACTTGCTGAAGTCAGTTAACCTAAGAGGAAAAGGTTCCTCAATCAGTAAACAACAAAACACTTCCCAGAGGTTTTTCTTTAACTTCCAGGTAGTTAACATATTGTGTAACATTAGTTTCATGTGGACAATATACTGACTCAACAATTCCATACAACACCCAGGTCTCAACTCACAAGGGACCTCATTATTCCCCATCACTTATTTAACCCATCTGCCTACCCATATCCACTCTGGTAACCATCAGTTTGCTCTCTATAGTTAAGTGTCTTTTTCTTGGTTTGCCTCTCCCTTTTGCTATCTTTCTTTATCTTTGCTCACTTGTTTTGTTTCTTGATTTCCACATGTGAGTGAAATCATATAGGATTTGTCTTTCTCTGACTGTTTTCACTTAGAATGGGTGTAACACCACCCATTCATACAAATGCCAAGATTTCAGGGGTGCCTAGGTGGCTCAGTTTGTTGAGCTTCTGACTCCAACTCAGGTCATGGTTTCGCACTTCATGAGTTCAAGCCCCACGTTGGGCTCTGTGCTAACAAACACCTCAGAGCCTGTAGCTGGCTTCAGATTCTCTATCCCTCTCTCCCCCCCTCCACTACTCATGCTCTGTCTCTCTCTGTCTCTCACAAATAAATGTTAAAAAATGGCAAGGTTTCATACCTTTTTGTGTCTACTAACATTCACATACACATAAATCTTTATTCATTCAGGAGTCAGTGAACACTTGTGCTGGACTGTTGGAATCAGAAAAGCTCACTGCCTGTCACTGCTGAACTGCTGCTCCAACAAATCTGGGCCCTGGACAGAACAAGAGTACAGGACTATACTCATCTTGAGGCTGACTGATGACAGGAAGCTCCCTCACAACAATGAATTGTCTTCACCCAACTTCACCCAAGTTGGAGTTGATATAACTCCAACTTCATTGGAGTTATATCTTGGGATATTAGTGCTTGAACAACCACAGCACACATCCTGCTGATCCCATTACAGTGTCCAGAAGTCTTCTTCATCTCCAAAATTGACTCTGCCATGTGATATTTTAAAGCTATGCCCAAAATGTTTGCATCATCTAATACCCCTCCTCCATCCACTGCCTCTGATCTAGGCCTGGGCAAACCAGTAATCATTGTCATCTGACAGCTTCTGGACCTCAGTAAGAAAAAGGAATTCAGTGCAATCATGGAGATAAAGGAGGGCATCCCCAATCTTCAGAAACCCACCATATTTGCCAATTCCTTATCTCCATGACACTTATTCATCCAATGACACCACCAAGAACTACCTAGGACCCTGGGTGACTAAAGGGAACCACCTCCAGGTACCTCCCTGCATTGGAAAGAGTTCTTCACATTTTATTTTCATAGGTCTTATCTTACTCTCTGAGGATGATGGCTTCATCATGTTTTACTTATATTCCCACCCCTCATCCCAGTGCTACAGGTCTGAATACCTACAGCCTTACATCTCTCTCATCTCAACTAAGCAGCTAGTGAGGACACTCTCACCACAACACAGGCACAAAAGAATGTTTGTGATGTCTACATATCTGGCACCAAAAATGAACAAACACAGCAGTGGAGATATGGAGACAACTGGGAAATAAACCAAGTAGAAGTTATCTTTCTTTCTTTTTTTTCTTTCTTATTTTTATTTTTGGGACAGAGAGAAACAGAGCATGAACGGGGGAGGGGCAGAGAGAGAGGGAGACACAGAATCGGAAACAGGCTCCAGGCTCTGAGCCATCAGCCCAGAGCCTGACGCGGGGCTCGAACTCACGGACCGCGAGATCGTGACCTGGCTGAAGTCGGACGCTTAACCGACTGCGCCACCCAGGCGCCCCAGAAGTTATCTTTCTATATGCATTCTCAGTTGTGTAACCTGGGACAGGTGTTTCCTCCACATGCAGAATGCACTATGCTAATTCTTTACCTTGTATATTTTCTATGTCTCATCTGGGGCTACATTATCACTACTATTGGAATTTGTTTCTCCTACTTATGGGGTATCTATTACACACCCAGTACTAGCATATGTGCATGTTTGCTTCATATGCACATGAAAACAACACCCACCCGCCAAAGACTGGCAGGTAGCTGTCTTAGCTGCCATGATGGCATACTTTAGAGCCCCGGCTAAGTCCAGATTTTGCCAAACTAAAGCAGATTTAAGCATGCTCTGTGCCTTCTGTAGGGGACACAGAGGGGAAAGCACTGGGAGAAAGCAGACCCGCTTGGTCACAGGGGCAGATTAAAACTGTCTTATCAAAAGTTACATTATCTTGTGAGTCTGTAGGGTGTTGTCTAGGGAATGTACTAGTGAGAGGGGCTGGTGTCAGTCAAGACCCTGTAAAACTCCTGGCTAGGGGCACCTGGATGCCTCAGTAGGTTAAGCATGTGGCTCTTGATCCCATAGTTAATGGGTCTGAAGCCTGTGTCTGGTTGTGTGCTGACAGCAGAGTTGCTTGGGATTCTCTCCCCACTGCTTTGCCCCTCCATGCTTATGCTCTGGCTCAGAATAAATAAACTTAAAAACAAATGGACTGGCTGTGCAAAATGAATGCCAAATAGCGTTTCACGGGGGACCTTAGGTAAAAGGTCAGCAGTACCCCTCTAGACCCCATAATATATCCATAATAATATCACAGTATTCACAAAGAGGAGAAAATGGTATAATGGATAAACGAGAGGAAAAATAATGGCACATTATGTAAATCCTAAGGCCGCGGAGAAAAGGGATTACTGGGTATGTTATGCCGTTGTGTTAGGAAAAGAGTTATAGATTCCGTCAGTTACCTACAACCTTAAATACAAGAGGATGTGGTAACATTGCTGGTTGGATCACACTTCATTCATTACACATCCATGTTAACACATTAAAAACAATTATATTTTATTAATTAAAATATATTAAGTTCACAGACCAATTTATGCATTTCAAATCCACTCAACTCAACAAATCGTTCAAAATATAGAATACAAGTGGTAAAAAAGCATTCATGTGTTGATGTAATGACAGGGGAGTAGTGATTTCCATAAATATCAGGCCGGAGGTAATTGTTGAGAGATGTGGATGTACAATTTATGCCATTTGGGGGAAGAGTTAGCTAGGCTCTGGCTGCCATCTGTGAAGATGTCTTCATTGCAGCCACATCAACTCATGTGCTCTGACTATTGCTGTTGTAAAGATCTATCAGTGCACTGGACTGCTACCTCTTTTGCCTTTAAGACCTTAACATAAAACATTTTCTTTCTAATATTCAGGAAGTTTTTAGAGTTAATAAATGGACAATGGTGTTCTCAACACCTGTCTCATGACAACTTACATCAGTGGTATAACCACAAACAGCATCTCCATTTAGATTTGTTTCAGATGTTGTACATTATATTGTCCTTTATCTTCCATGGAAAATTCGATATGCCTGAGTCCTGCATAATGAAGAAGGGCATCTCATACCTTTGATGCAACAACAGTCAGTCACATGGTTTCACACACCCACTAGGAATAAATGAATAATCTGTAGTGATTTGAGAGTAGAAATACATGGATATTTGCTAGTCACAAATCCCATAGAGGGTCAATGTAAGTAAAAAAAAAAACCAAGGCACAATTTGAAATTAATTATACCTATGCAAAAACCGATCCACTAGATCTTTAGGACCAGAATAGCATATATGTTTTCTAAGTGTCTAACTCCGTATTATTCGTTATAAGTATTTTGAAGCAATGTCTGAATGAAATGACAGATATACTTCTTTCTATTTGATTTCTGTAACATGATTCACATTTGATGTTCAATGAAATACTTTTGTAAATCTACCTTTCCAGTTACTTTCTTATATGCACTCTCTTGTGTTTCCTAAAGTGTATATTTAAAATGAGGGTCTTTGTTCACTCATTACATTTCTAGGGTTTGCATCTAGGGTGTCTTTTGTGATATCGAGCAAAAGTTGAATTCCAGGTAAAGGCGTGGCCACTTTCCATTTCACACTTTGGCTCCTATGTGATAACTAG